CTGTAATTTCTCTTCTCGTTCTTCTTGTTCTCTTCTTTTTCCTCCAACAACTGCTGTAATTTCTCTTGTTTATTTTGCTGTTCAAGCTGCCACTGTTGCAGGTTTTTTTGCAACTGCTATTGTCTCTCTCCTTGTTTCTTTTCTTTTTCCTCTAAGAACTGCTGTAATTTCTCTTCTTGTTTCTTTTCTCTTTCTTCTTGTTTATTTTCTTTCTCCTCTAACAACTGCTGTACTTTCTCTTCTTGTTTAATTTCTCGTTCATCTTGTTTCTTTTGCTGCTCTTGTATTGCTGCCATCAAGTCTGCTATGCTGTAGTTTGATTTGCCGCTTCTCGTCTCCATTTTTTTTTGTTTATCCCACTTCTGACACCAATTTGTTACTCTCCGTTAGTTCGTTAATTTTCCATAAATTCGTTCCGACGAAACTTTAGCGACACAAGTCCTTTCTTAAATAAAACTGGTTTATTCTTTCTGAATATAACTTTACGATACACTTAATTTTAACAATTGCGCTAAAACAAACGCTATAACTCACGTGGCCAACAATATTTTGTCCGCATACATTCAATTACTCATTACCTCTCTTATCCCGTCACGTTGTCAATGTCTTATATATATATACAAGACTAACACATATCTAGTAAACGCTAGGGCATTCTTGAAGGAACAGGATATTTCTAGAAAACAGGTGGCGTGATACTAGTCACGTGACCTTGCTGACGCAACAGTATTAAAATTATAAAAGGTAGCACGCTCAGATGTATGATTGTTAGAGTAATTATTCCCCTCATTCAATCAGCTCCATCAAAGAGATCTTGAAAAAACAGGAAAGAATTTTCCAATAGTCTGTTTGTCATTTGATCTAGGACAAAACATGTTAAACAAATCAGTCAGAAACTGTGTAATCTATGGAGATGACAAGTTAATAGTAACTGATTAACAAACAAATTTGAATTGTTTTGAAACCACAAGAAATATGTGTAAACCAAAATCATAGAGTTAAGATATTAGAAGCAGTTAATTAATATTAGAGTTTATTACAGATGAGTTGTGAAAATATAATCAAAAGCTCATCACTAACTTTTGGATATTAAATAATTTATTTTTGAACTACAATTTGAAATATGTTTACACACATTTAGAAGTTAGTAAGAAAAGCAAATAAAAGGTCTTGAAGAAATTTATGAATTAAGTATTACTCCCAGGATTGCTCTTTTAGCAAGTATACCTGTCTTTAGAAAGAGTATTATCATTATTTAATATCAATACAAATTTTATTTATGTGTTTACCATGTACAAGTTCTGGTGAAAAGATTTTGGTGGAAAGTTGCCTTGTATACCAATACACAATATGAATGATGAGTGTTTTTTGTTTGAATAAAAGGTTAGAAGTTACATATCCCAAATTAAATGCATCTTCAAATGGCACTATTTATTTGTGGTCTAATTGTAACAGTAAAAGTTTGTTGAATCTTTGGATATGGATTACTCAAATAACTTGCATCAATAATGAGTTTTTAAGAGGAGTTTTAAGCAGTTTTCTTCATGATGTATAGGTATTTTACATTAGATAACCTTTGTTTAAAGAAACTGCACTCCACACTTTAGGGCCTTGAGTGTGTTAAGTAAGTGACAATGAAATCCCACTACTGATTAAAGTTGGCAGTTGGTGCTGTTGAGTAGGTGCTTTCCCTCTAGTATGTCAATTCAAAATTATGAAGAGCTAGCATTTATAACTCTTATGTGGCTTTGTGCTGATACTTGAAACAAACCAAACCTTTCTTAAACATAGAGAAACTAGGTTTTGCTTATATTAGTCTTTCATGTTCAAGTCTGTCATATCTTAGAATATAAAAGTAGAAAAACAGCACTTAAATTGTCATTTTTCATAAAATTCTGATCTTCTTGAAAGTTAGTAGTGTGATATGCAGGCATATAATGTTTTCATTTAGTTAGTTTCTATGCAATTTTGGCATAACTGGCCCAAAAAGCCATTGAAATTGTTTCTTTCTAGTTGCCTTTGTTCTCTATAGCAAATAATATTTATTCTTCTTATATCCTGTTGAAAGGGTCAATGAGAAATTTTGGAGCTATGACTACAGAATTTGTTGTAGACTTTTCTGTTTTGTTAATGTGTGTACTGGACCTTGCTTGATCTTTAGAGTTAAACAAATTTTTTACTGAAAAGAATGGCTTATTCTGGACATAGAAGTACTCACAACTAAGAGAGACTGCAGGAAAGAGGTGTTGAGTCTAGGAGAAGTCCTCTTCTGGACATAGGATTTTTGACCATGCTACAAAGGTCCCTGACCTCGATCATTCTACATCCACAAACTTGGGAAGATCTGCTAAGTCAGGAATACCCAGACTTTTGGATTGAATCTAAATGTCATTCTCATGGATTACTGCTGCCTGTTAAGTCTGAGACTACGTGGAGAAGTCTCTACAAAACTCTCAGGTTATTGCCAGCCAGAGCACTGTAGTCTTATCTGAGGTCCAAACAACTATGAATGTTTGAATTGCTGTGAGCAGTTTGTAGCCCTGGACCAGAGACCAGTTACTCATCGAAGTATCTGGTCACATCTCAACCAGTCATTGGCCAAGAACCTACAAAAGAAAGGATTTGGCCCAGATCACAGGTCCCAGTGAGTGAAATAGAGGAAATTTTGTGACTGATGTTAAATGGAGCATAGATGGGTCAGAGTGCAAAAGTTACAACCTTTTTACAGAATTACATTCAACATTTAATTAAACAACTTTCTT